GTTAGCTAACTGAAAGTTCAGTCATCAATTTGGTACTGGAATTCCAATTGTTACAGCTATTATTAGGTGACGCTGATTGATAGACAATTATGCTGATTATGAAATCCTTTTTGTTTTTAGCCCATTGAAACTCAATCAATTATTGATTGACTGGATGAAAACAGTGCATGGAGGAAACGAGTCTTCCAAGTTATAGTGGTCTTCTACAGAATGGAAGGCATACTGTTATGGGAGGCCGATGAACATGATAGAGCAGGGGTGTAAAAAGCTGCCTTAGTAAATAATGTRATGAATGCCCTTATTACGGGCGTRTGGTACGCACATTAATCAATATTCACAATGTATTTTTATTCCAATTATATTTGTATGAATCATCGTATGTAATGTTAACTTTTAAAGTATGATCTTTTACAAAACTACTAGATCGCAATAATGTTGCTGAGAAAGAGGCTACTTCAGGTATATTTTGAAAATACTAATTTTAAATCCTAGGTATGACCATTTTTAATTATGAATTAATCGTCTTCATTTCAATTTTCATGAAGTTTTCATATTTGAAACTAAAAGGCAAACGAGGTAAATGGATGTAAAAATACAACACATTTTGTACTATTTTGGAATACTTTGAAATACTTTAGTAAGCACTTCTATATTCACAAATGGGAGGTTTTTCCTACAAATAGACACTAGTGAGCATTGAATCCTTTGTTGGTGAGACCAACATGGTCGCCATGACGTTATCTAGAAACATCCACCAATTACGATTTTGTAAAAATCATTTTGTTATATTCGCAAAATCCAGAAACATGAATGTCAAGGARGTAAAACTATATCAGATTAATAAATTCCTTAATGAAAGGTCGTTTTAAGTACTCTTCTTACTTGTTCAAAAGCACTTGTCGATCAAGTAACGAATACAGTCAACTCTCGCTATGACGGACACCCTCGGGACCGTAATTTAGTGTCCGCAGTAGCAAGAGTCCGTAATAACGAGAGTTACTTTCCGTCCTTTCTTTGTATTTTTTGCTGGGGGTTCGGTATTTCGTGTCCGTAATATCGAGGTGTCCGTTATAGTTGGGTGTCCGTAAGGCGAGAGTTGACTGTTGTAGTAGTTATTACGCATTTCAGTCAAGCGTAGAAAAGGAAAAAGAGCAACAAAATCAATCGGAAATATWCGAAGTAGAGACATAACTTTTCTATTTATTTTTGATAATCATCAGGCTATCATGGTGTCGTCACTAAAATAGTATGTAAGGGTATTTCCCTAGAATCATAGACTCGGGTTTCCGTGTCCTACGTCTTCCCACAAACGTGCTTTCAGATGGCGTGATTTTTTCTCTATTCGATATATTGACTCAGGAAAGATTTGAAAAATAGTCCGCCTACACTTATTGWTTTAGAAGGGGAGTTTTTTCCCGTTATATCATCAACTAGAAGCATTCTTTAACATAATGATGATACATTTTGTAGACACACCAGACACGTGGAGACTAAGACCCTTAATACAGTTTTAACCATTGAAAACTGCGCAGACTATTGTCATTGCTACCTTCATTCGGAGTTTTTCCGTAAGGAGGTAGTGTGTGTGTAATGACGCAGTTACGCAAATACGAGAACATTTTCAATATATTGAATCCAATATTTATAATGGATTTCAAATCAATATTCATATCATGATTAATCAGTTTTTTGTTGTTTTTTTCCTTTTTCTGGAGATTGAAAATAAAGTTATCAAAACTATTCAGAGTCATGTGCTACACTCATTAAATGTAGTGTACTGACTGATTGATTGATTGTGCAAGTATATATATTATTTATATTTTTTAATGACTTTCAGACAGTTCCCTGTGGTCATCAAAATCCTTAATTCTTAGTTCTTATGTTTAGGTTTAAAAGAAAAAGCATTCATTTTAGGTTTACAACTCGATTGATTTGGGTTAATCGTTATTGGAAAGAACCTATAGATGCAGGAAGTACATATCAAAGAAATGTACGTCAATTGTTATTGCCATGGTTACAGTAAACAAGATACCGTAACGCTTATTCGGATGTTATCAAGTTGATGAATTAAAAACATTGTCGTAATGCAACATCTATGTTATTTTATCCATTAAAAAGAAAGGTGCAAAGTTATAATTCTGGTTCTTTCATTTTTTTTCAAAGTTTTGCTGGTTTTTACGATTCTGAAGTCATTTTTTTGTTCTGTTCTAGGTTGATTGTCATATTAACTACGGTTTCGCGCGAATTCACAAAAAATCCCCTGTAGTCAATTACATCACATAGTGCAATAGTGCAAAAGTCGTGCGTTTTAAATGTAAAAATGTTATTGGTTAAAAAATCTTCACACCACCACCACGAAAAAGTCAGTCCAAAACTTTGATTGGCCAACTAAAACAGACGTTAAATTATAAAAGTAGAACTTATAGTAAGAAACTATCACAGACAAAGTTGCAAAACAATAATAGCAACTCTAAAAGACTTACCAAGAACTTCAAAGAAATATAAAAGAGCTTAGTGATGAAGGTAAGCGGGAAGCTAAAACTATTTTCATTTYGATGCCTTATGGTATCATGTYACATATTTGTTTGTTTCTTGTTTTCAGATTGTGTTTGCGATTTTTATGGTGACAACCGTCCAGATGACGTTATGCGACGAATTCTCTTGCAGAGATGAACACAGTTTACGAAGATGGAGAGACCTTAAGCATGTTCTTAAGCACCTGTACGCCAAGTACACTGCCTTTTTTGTCGACATGGGTAACGATACCGTAGTAAAACAACAGCCTCCCCGCCGTGTCAACAGCAGGACGAGGAGAGATACCGCTGCCGTAAGGCCGTGCCCTTTCGAATGGGTTGAAAACGTACAGATCTCACGTTACCCGTCAACAATCGTTCAGGCGGAATGCTCAAAATGTTCTACTTTATGTACACCTGTGTATTACAGTCAAATGGTGTTTGATCGAAGATGTGACAAGAAAACTGGGCATGTTGTATGGCTTAGAAGATGGTATCGCACGCCAATTTCATTTGAACTCCCTGGCGATTCTTACTAAATCGATTTAAACTCTGCACAATTTATTCCACACTTGTAATCACTGGTGTAGAAAAAAAAAAACAATTTCGACATAAATTACAGAGAAACAGGCCAAACAATGTTAATTATGTAATAAATTGATAAATTGTAAATAATAGAAAATAAATTAATTAATAAGATATACTGAAAATAAGAATTTCTGAAAAAAATTATAAATTGTAGCTTTAGTGTACGTCTTGTATAGTAATGTGTGTGGATATTGGCGTTGTAAATAGTATGTGCATTTGAAAAATAAAAAAAAGATTAAAAAAAGATATGCTGAGTAATCATTTTACAAAACAAAGACAGAATGATTTCGGAAATGTTTATATATTCAAAAAGCCCTTAAAATCATTATAAGACTTACCATGGGTCATAGCGACGCCATTTTGTTCAGCAAAGCATGATGGGAGTTGTTGTCCTCGCGATTTTTATAGTCCCCTAAAAATCCCTAAAARTAGTTTTTATGTTTTATTTTTATGTATTGCTATACACCCTTTTAATAAGTCCCGAGGTATTGTTTTCTCCGCACTTGACGTCAAATTTATTCTTTTGAAATTTTTACAATACAAAAGAAATTCAAAAGAATAAATTTGACGTCAAGTGCGGAGAACGTAATACCTCGGGACTTATTAAAAGGGTGTATAGTGGAATTTATAACCACCAGCAGACATCTCTCAAGGGAAGGGTGTGGACAAGAACGATAATCCTAATCATATAAATAATGATAAAGGTAAAAAAACACCCCTGAGGACTTCCAGCAATGCTGGAAACCATAGTTATTCAATAGCTTTTTGTCTGTTTATCAATGGATATACTCATCATCTTAAGAGCGTTTTCACCTTGCAAGAAGAACAAATGATCTTCTAATAGGCCATTTGCATGATGGCGTAACTTTACTACAACTTTGCGCATTTTCATTGTTACTTCAGATTTTTAATCCCCTTAGCGATTAGTAAAACAATTGGTACTAATTGCATGAAAAAAGAAAGTTGGCAACGCATTCTGTTAGTTGTAGTAAATGACGCCAAAATACAAATCGGCTATTTCAACCAAAAAACTTTTTTTTGCTCAGACTTCCCACGTCTACAAGACCAGCGCCAAGACCATCGCCCACATGTATGAATTGGAGATCCATTTCAAGAAAATTACTCATCTTATAGGTTCAAACGGATACGAAAATAAATTGAACCCCACGCACTTTCTACACTTTTAGATGTTAGAAAAACTCATTTCATAATTAATGGCTTTAATAAACGAGGGGGACTTCCACTAATCAGTATCTAAGGTAACCGGATAAGCAAAAGACAAAAAMAGTTTTTCTCGAATATTACTTGATTTATAGGGCTGACAAGGCAAAAGCGAAAACACTAGTTCTTGGGTATGAAAATAGTACGGCAGTCATTGTGAAAGATTCTCGATATATCCTTTGCAGTCACCGCTTTTGTCGTGCTTACTGTGTCAGGTGCGAGGGAGACTTGCTCTGGAAACTCCTTTTGGAACTTTCATAAAACATATGAATGAATCAGATCAGGTTTTTTCTTTTAAACCAGACAACCTTACTTTTTATAGTACAGTATCTGGGTTCACAGAATATCTACATATTCTTCAGGAGGAGCCGACGAGCTCTGTTCTTGTACGAATTTTTTCCTGGGAAAGGGATTTTGAGGTACATTGTTGACAATCTCACAATCAAATGTGGCGCCCTTCCTTCTTTAAAATTAGTTTGTTCCTGGAAAACGTTTAAAAAGGCTTATATAACGTTTTTATGGTCAAAATTGCTTATATTTCTTTTACTTAGGAAATTTTTATTTTCCTGGAGAGTTCTTTTTTCCCGAATTTCTCGCTGGAAACCGGTTGTGACTTACAGATGGCTGAGACATAAGAACATATATTTCTCCCAGGAAACCGTCGGCTCCTCCTAATTCTTGTGTATGCAGGCATAGACTTCAAAATAAAGTTACCCTCTGGAAAAGAACTTATCTGCTTTCTTAGTAAAGATGAATTAAATTCTACACAAAATGTTAGTAYCATTCAAATTGCTTTTAATGAATGTCTTAGGCATGGCTCTAAGACTAAGATGAAATTCTAAAAAAATAAAATTAACTATTTTGAATTCCATATTTCATCTTAAGCTTTTCACCATGATAAATCGTCTCTACAATCTACAGAGTGCAACTTTAGCAACACTAATTCTAATCTAAATTGAACAAAAGTTGACAATATTGAGCTTTTTTGAATACTCGTTATGATTTGCATAGAATGAAGAAACAAACAACTATGTGCACACATTTTGCAATTTTGCTAAAACTTTCCTATTGTACCTACATTAAAATATTAAAATGTTCTTCAATTGAGAATTTCTGGTTCTCTTGATAAGAGATTCTAATTTTATGTAATTATTGTTCTGTATACATTACTTCTTGATATTTTGATATGTCTGTGAATACCCAGGGCCATGGAGCTGTTCCACAGGAACGTTGATGTTGATTGTACAACTATAATATATTGTTCATATGTATAAATAAAACCACATTCAGTTGATCTACCATATTTTGAATCCCTAGTAATCATTCATTGAAATATCCATGATATTCTGATCATTAGGCCTTTGGGAAGGCAGGCATCCTGTATGTCCACATCATGGTGGGTCTAATTTATTCAGTAAACTAGATTCTATAGTAAAATACAGGATTTGTCAAGAGCTGGTAGCTGCTTGATGTCGAACCAATGATATAAGTTTTTTCACTGCAACCATCCATTGATTCACCTAAAATGAAAGAAATACACAGCTTAATATTCATTCAAGCATTTCAACCATTCTATCTTGGTTTCAAAAGTTATTTCAAGCTTGTAAATATTGTAAATTGTAAAGATTTTAGTTTACTGCGGCAGGCTCCACTGTGTTCAAAGTGAATTTTTTGTTCACAGTTGRTTGAAAACTTCTCTAATGCAGTTGTTTCAGTTAGACTTTATAATATAGATGTGATGACTCTAGATTATTMCAGGGCTGGGTTTTTCAAGCCCCAGTAAACATTAATCCTAGGTTAGCTCTATAAGTTTTACACAAGTTAACCCAGGATTAGCACTAATCAAGTTTTAAACAACCCTCTTTTGGATTGTCTGGTTACCTCCAACCTTCAAAACATATTGACATTTTGAATTTCTTTATTTTGACTGAAGGCATGTTATTATAACTAGGGTAAAGTAATTATCACGTGAAATATTGAATTTACCTCAGCGACATGATCAACTATAATGCTGACATGAATATGATGAGCTTCTTCCCCATTACCATTATCCAGAGCTTGAAATAACAAAGAAATGAAGGAAATTTTATGAGTTTTTCTTGACAATCATTTGTTTATGAAAACATAAGGAAAATATGGGCATGAAAAATTAATGTCATACTTGACTTTGTTATTCATGCAAAATCACAATGTAAAGAAATTCTCCCACAGAATAACAACATAGCATTTACAGTAATTGAAAATGTTATCAGACATGTTTAATTCTTGTTACCTTGGGCAAGTTTGATCATTCTGGATTTGACCGTTTTTCCCAGTTTTCCTTCCAACCACATCTTGGACATAATTTGGAGTCTTCTTGCAATGTCATCACATATTCGTTTCTAAATTTATACAAGAAATAATGAATAAATCATCAATCTATTTTTAGTGTTATAACCGGCACTGAGGAGTAGGCAATTGCATTACAACTCGCCTTACATACAATATACTTCACACCAGGCAAACTGGTATTTAATGGTAAATAGCTCTATCTATATGCAAAATATAAAATCCATATCAAACAAAATATGTGGAGTACTAGATAATCTTATCCATCTTTTATGCAATTACTCTAACTTGTCTTTTATGGATTTCACACAAAAAATAAAACAAAGTGAAAAAAAAAAAAACAGAAAAAGAGAAAGAAATGATTGAATTGAAATATACATGCTGCATTGTAACTTAAACATGAATTCCATTTGAACTTGAGTATATTATTGCCTTGAAACTAAACATAAATCTGTCCATAGTTATTCTATTTCTTCTAAATTTCAGACTTTCCACATACCTCTAATGTGAATTTCTGAATGACATCATTAAGAGCATCAACAGTAGCTTTAAGTCCTTCTTCATCACTCAATCCATTGTCATCTTCTTCAGGTGAAAGACATCTTGGTGTACTCCCTGTACTTCGTGAACCTGGAGTTGGTGTCAGTCCAGTAGGTGGCGTGGGGGTCCTTGCCCCTGAAGGCGGCGTAGAAACAATGTTTCCAATATGGGGTTGAATTTGAGGAGGAGGCCCACTGGGTGGGAAACAGCCAACAGGAGGTGGAGCAGAGATAACCCCTGGGTTTACAGCTATYGGATTTATGTTGGTTGCAGTGTTCATAGATGTCGGATKAGCTAGTGTACTTGTTATAGGCATAAYAGGTTGAGATAAAGCACTAGTCATGATGGGACGTGATGGTTGCAGTGCCACAGGAATAGCTGGATGAGGTGATATTGCACGAGGACCTTTCGACAGAGGAGATATACGTCCAGGTTGTTGTGTCCCYAATGGAGGTGTGATATTACCYACTGGTGGTGTTGTAGAGTGGGCACCATTAGTCACGGCTTGATGGACTGGATGAAATATTTGTGGTCCACTATGYCCATGATCATCCAAATGATCTCCAATTTCAGCTGTTGATCGTACACCATTGTGCGTTCTCACCGGTTCAAATGAGTGATTCTTTAAGTCAAACAATGGCTGACCCAAATATCCCGGTGTTATGTTTTCTTGGCCTGGCACTATTGATGCCTGATGTATATCTGGTGTACTAATGGGGTCTACATGTGAGTTAGCAGCAGGAGCTGGAGAAACTGCTGGCGGCATAAATACTGTTGGTAAACTGAGACTTCTATGGTGATCATGTACTGCATAAGTTGTGGGTGTTATAGTTGTTGGYGTATAAAGTGGCACCGATGGATGATTGTGCATCGTTTCAGGTTGTTGTGGTTGAGTGATAGATGGAGGAAGAGAAGATACTGCTCCWGTTGTAACAGGTGAAGAATGTAAACTTAAACTAGCCATTCCTGCAATTGATAGGATATTATTAATAATATAAAATATATAATCATGTACTGTACAATTACATATTTCAAAAATATTAGCCACTTCTAATAAGACCTGATGGAAATAGAAAAAACATATTGAGTAAAATTGCTCAATGGGACTTATCCCACAAACTTCTGATTTTAAGAGGGTCACTCGACATTGTTTTTTTCTTTTGTTTTTCCTTTGCTCTTTTTCCTTTCAGAACTTGATGTTCATCAACTATGGTAGGTTATTACAACAGCAATCAACCATCATTGAAAGTAAGAGACTCAATAACCATATATTGATATTTGCAATTTTTTTATAGGAATTTACTTTTTATAAACATCTTGGTCTTGAAGCAAAAATCTTTTTAATAAAAAACAGAAACAACAGAAACAATAATAATATAAACAAATAATATCGAGAACTTATCTTCAAAACGAGATATCAAAACGAGATAAGAGGTCGTATAAAAAGCAATGAAGATTAGCATGTTATGAACAAAACATGTTTGCAGCACAGACAAATTAAAAAAAATGTAATTCAATTCATTATAAAAAACGCAAAACAGATACTCACTATCTGTAACTTCAGCACCAGAAATACCGTAAGTAGAAGGAGGTGTAGCTGGACTATAAGGTGGTGTCTGGGTGCCATGTAAAGCTTGTTGATGAGAAACGCGTTTTCTCAAATCGAGTTTCGGTCTTGAGCCAGTACTTTTCGAAAAAGCGAAAGTCGGAGGATCGTTCCATCCCCTTGGAGAATCTCCGTTATAAGCTAATACACTGGCCGATGGACCTGAGGGAGCAAGTAAAAGATACATACTGACGATCAACCCAAATGCTCAAGAAAGAAAACATCTAAACAGATGTTTATGAATATTTAAGCTTAGGTTGGTTTGTGTTGGTCGAGAAAATGTCGTCCACACGAGCAGTTGTTGGTGTTGATGAAGCAGTAAAATCAAAATCTTCAGTTAGTACACGACAGAAAACACTGGAAACGATAATATGACGTAAAGACTTTGTTAAACTACCTACATTCATTCTGAACAGAGCGTAAACATTGTGTAATAAGACAGCATGACCTTAGAATATCCAAGGACACAAGAAAAACCAAAATAACCTTCTATATTAAGCTACATCTAACAAAGAAATGACATCAAACCGAAGAAGCCAACWAGATCATTAAAAATTACAAGACAAAATTGAGGAATATATAAAGATTAGTGTCGATTTTGATCAAATGTTTTCATCGACGGAGTCCGCCATGACACCAGTTCTCTTTACATCATAAGAGTCGTTCCCTCAACGAGTCACTTTCCAACAACAAAACCTCAAATTCATTTATCGCTTGATGACCTAAATGAAAGTCAAATGTCCTAACTACCTTAAGAACCAAAATTTCTTACCATTTGGGGCCGGATTTACCGGCATTTTTGGATACAACCAGTGCAATCCAAACTGATTTCTGACGTGTCACAGATTCGGAGCAGAAATTGCCTTCACCTACGTCATTTACGAAATAGCCCGACCGGAATAGCTAATAAACCGGAAACCCAATGGTTGGCTCCCACGTTAAAAAAAATAATTTCCACTGCCGTAAAAAAAACCATGAAGTCCGGTTCATAGCTGTTTATGATASGTTGCTAGCAAGATTTCTCTAGGAAGCAAAATGTGCCTCTAAATATTACAAACTTATTTGTCTTCTAGGCTTGTTTCCGAACGATTTTCTCCGAAAGTGAACGACAAAGCACCGAGTGATCAACGAACAGATGTTGTCAGTCAGTCGGATGAAGTTGACTCATTTGTAGTCAAGAGCTCCGACATAAGTTCATCTATATGGGCGATAACATTTGAAAATGAAGAAACAAGAGTCAAGTCTGTGATCTTTAGATGTTTCGTTACTTTCTGGCGTTCCTTGTGTGGTCATGTTTCCCAGCTTCGCGCCATTGCGGACTGTGTCTAAATTCTGGTGAGTTTTGCTCAAGTTTTATTTCAATTTTGCTACATAAAATTCCACAGTTTCTTAGTATTTCAGTATCAAAAATACCGTCAACTTCATTTCGAAATTCGAGAAGACAAAATGCATGATTAAATACTTAAACTATCAGTATTTTGTCGCCGTCTTCCGGATCTTAATTTGGGAAACACATTGAAGTGAATTAGGCATATGATCCATCTAGTCTGCTACATGTTTATATCTCAAAACATGATCCTACAACCCCAGGGATAAATGCCGGTTTTAGATTTATTTAATTTTTCTAATAATGTTGTTTGTGAGGTAGATAACTTAGCTATCTGGGCCAGCTACCATTTTGACACGATAAGTTAAGCTTAATGTTTTGTGATAATTTTTTTTCCTCCTGATCAGATCTAAAAATTTATGTTCATGTAAGCTTAAAATATTTAAAAATAAGCTAAGTTAATTGAAATTTCCATTTTCGCGATAGGAGAAAAATCAAGGAATTTATTGGCCACGATCCATAAGTAACTTATTGATTTAGATTGCAAAGTTCTACGTGTTTTATTCTGTTAGGTCTTTAAGTTGTTGTTATGTTGATTTTTCTAATATATTATAAGGTGATCATTAAGATTACCAAGGTGATATAAAGAGTCACTTAAAGTTTTTAATATTTTACTATCACTGAAAAAGATGTTCTTTTTCTTATTCAAGAGTACTTGTGTTGAAAATAATCAAGGGAAAATTAAGTTTTTGTGTATGCAGAATGTTTTGTTGACATTGTAACCTTTGGACTCTATATTTATTCATTATGATTATATATATTGTTAAAGGTTGTGGTACTGTGTTTTTATCAACATTCCTGTCTGTCCAAGATATATATACTTTAAAAACATCAGTGTTCCATTCAAAAACTAAATATACATTTAAAATGTGTAAGATAATTATTGAATTTCATTCATTTTAACCAATTCATTACTGTCGTCATTAACAACAACACTCAAAATATTTTAAACAATTTACTAAATCAAGTTTATTAAATGCTCAAATCTTTCTTAAATGTTTCTACTTTTATTAAATATTTTTTTAACAATCAACCATGACACCAACATATGCTACTGTATAAATCATAAATTAACATTTATAAAATTTTTGATATATAACGCGCGCTCTGATTGGCTGACGACCGTGTTTATATCAGAGGACAGAGACACGGCTTACTGGCAAAATTTTCTTTTCGCTCGAAAAATTTTATAAAAGAAATATAAAACGGCCGCTTGTGTCTCTGTCCTCTGATATAAACACGRTGGGAGTTGAAAAACACTCGAGAAGCAAGAGAAACACTCGCTACGCTCGTGTTCCTAAGCTTGTTTCTCTCGTGTTTTTCAAACTCCCACCGTGTTTATATCAGAGGACAGAGACACGCGCGCCGTTTTATATTTCTTAAATAAAGTCTACAATTTTTTTGATTAAGACAGTCAGGATATTATAATTATACATAGCAACAAATAGTCTAAATCATCCATGTCAATACAATAGTTTTTATATTCAAACTAAAAGAATTCATTCGTTTTATAATAACCTTTTGTCTCAGTAACCATAGTCCTAGAACTTATGCAAACTATTGCTTATGATTTGGATTGCTCATATTCCAACATGTTTTGATTACCAAGTTATGGTTAAATGCTTTTCAACTACTGGGTAATCCAAATCATACTTGCTATTAGATTGCTTGTTCTTTGGAGTTGTAACTTTCTATGGTCTGTACCTGTGTTTCCAATAAAGAAGAAACAYGTACTCTGTCTATTGCGGCTTAAATGACTTCATTTTGTATCAAAGTGATGCCCTGCTCACTCTGTGGACTTTGCAGCATGTACTGTCCCTGCAAAGGCTAAGGGCAAGATGAGAAATKACATCCTCAAAGGGATTTTTAAATCCCTTTGTTAAAACATTTAAGCCACTATTTATATGGAGCTCAATAAGCTCTACTGACTATAAGTGAGCAAAAGTGGGTCATAATCCTTTATCATTTTGCTGACTATTTCTTATGGAAGAATCAACAATTGGTGTATTAGTAATATTATAATCACTATCATATAATGACATCAGAAGCTTGTAGACATTTTGCCTTTTTCGAAGCATTGCGCAAAATATTTGAGATAAAATCAACTTTTAATGATATGGTATGTAAAGTCAACTAAAATTGTAGACAAATCATGATGCTATCAATTGAAAATATCCTTTGTACAAATTTTCTCTTGTTATAAATTATTACTTATTCTTTCTGATTAAAAATTAATGGGTCACAAGAGGTTGTTTTATAGAGAGTGGCATGATTGTCATAATATTCTTATTTGTACGGTCTAGACCAATTCATTTCTCCATAAAATGCCCCATTAAAACAACAACTGATTATTTGCATATATATAATATATTATAATAATATATATCGGATAAATTTTCTTAAATTTTTTCATATTTTTTTTAATTACAATGTCAATAGCATTTATTTTTCTTTCTCTAGAGTTTTAATTAGAAATGCTTCCYAGGAAGTTTACTAAAAACATTTTTATGCAAATTTAATTGTTGTTGTCTTTATATGATGCTACAATTCAAGAACATTCATGTGATTTGACTTTATATAGTCAAGATGATTTTAGTACAACAGTATTTTATTATCTGCAGACGTAGAGGAACATGAGCAATTGAACTATGAAGCCATCACAACAATCCACAACCATCTTGATGATGACATGAATGGTGAAGTAGACATAAGTGAATCTGATGAGGTATTGTTTCTAGATATTTTAAGGACTTTCAGCTGCTTCCTGGGGGATGCGTTAGGTTGTTAGAGCGTTAAGTAGGGAGAACTTATACTTTTGAATTCCTAGGAAATTGAAGAAAAAATTAATAATTTTGACTATATACAATCATCTAGCTAAAATAAAGACAGCAGTGTCTTTGCAAATTAAGCAACAATATGTATCAGAATTCCAGATCAACTACATGTATTTTCATTATAGTTTATTCGGGATGAGCTCAAGGTCACCGACAAAAATCGACAAAATCTCTTTCATGCAAATGACACCCGAATATCAGTAGTAGATCTGTGGAAAAGCTGGGTGACTAGTGAAGGTAAAAGCAAGGTGTTTTTGACGTTAATTAATTTGAAACTGGTATCCCTGTGTAAAGATAGCTACTGACACAGGGATCCCAAACTATTGCGTAAATATTAGAATTTTGTGTACGTTGGAAAAGGTGTGTTTATTTATCAAAAATGGTCAATCGGCTTTTTAATAGTATTTGACCCTCCTTCWAAGTCTCTTCCAAACTAAAATGTTATGGCTATCCCCACTAAAAACACACYAAGATATAACACTGATAGCCTCCACYCCCCCCCTCCCTACCAAAATAACCATTTCCCAATGGTAAAACAATACATGTCTTTCTTGATAATTTTACATTTTCATTCCTGAACTACATATATACATGTTCATTGACTCATGATTTGTTTTTGTAAATTCTGAATGTTTTTAGTGCACAACTGGACAACTGCTCAAGTTGTCAACTGGCTTGTTGAATATGTCCACTTACCACAATACACTAAAATGTTTGCTACTTCAAAGGTTAATGGATCTATATTACCAAGGTTTGTAATGATACCAGTCAATTCACTGACACTGCTGATATTTGTATGATTTAAATTCGATGCATGGATCTATTGGCAGTTGATACACTAAAATGTTGCATTAATTTTAAATTAGTCTCAAATTGAGATATTCAACAGGTGATGATTTCACAATGCCACCTGTCTTCTCTAAATGTTAATTCAAGCTGAAAAGATGTTATAGTAAATTACTGTTGATATTAAAAGATGTATTGAATAGTGCTAWTTTGATGCTAACTGAAATTACATGTAATCGTAAACCAACTTATTAACAGTTTCCATCATAAATTCCACACAATGTAACTAACATGACTATATTATTTACATCATTAACTGTACAACACGCACAAAAACATTTTAAACATATGTTATATGATGAGCAACTTCTGGATAGTACCAGCAAAAAAAAAGTATTGAAAGGTATAAAATTCCTAATAGAAAGAAAAACAGCGGCAGCCAAACAATTTAAATCTATATATTCTAGGGTGCATTTCTTTAGTATTGTTTTATCACATATATATATTAAGTGTTGCCAATATTATTGATRTTATCAGACTTGCAGCACAGCAGTTCAATGGAGTTTTCCAAGGCATCAAGGACCCAAAGCACAGAAAGAAGATATCTTTACGAGCTATGGATGTCATACTCTTTGGACCTCCAGGTGATTATAGACTCTACTTAATTATCTCATCCAAAGGTKTCAATATCAAATTAAAATTTGTCCAGATGCCATTTAATTATTCATTGTTCTCTATTTAAGCTTATTTTTCAAACAAAGAACAATCAATGGACAGTATAKTCTGGCTGTTTTTTTATAAATTATTATAAATAAGAAGGTGTAATATTAAATGAGGTAGTAGGCTGAATTCCTTGATATCTCCAGACAATGCTATACACCATCCATGTTTATTGATCAAGTGTCATGTAACTGTTTGATGGACTTTGACTCCCACCAGTCACACAGCCAAGCTTTGCATATAATTACAAGAGAGTGATAAGCTTTTTCAGTGCATATTGCCAAGTCAAATTGACTTTGGTATGTTCACTACATAGTAGWGCTGCACAGAGCTTTGGCTTTGTAGCTAGTTGTGCTCAGCGCTCTGTGCRTGGGGGTATGGATGTTCCAGGGTATGCAATATTCTCTTTAGCTGAGTTGGTGCTGAAAAACGGTAAAAGGCTACCAGATTAAGGGCGTTTTTTCTGCTGTGATAAAAAAGATGTGCACAGAAAGAAAGAGAGATAAAAAGAAAAAATATATTTAAATTTTGGATTATATTTTTCTCTTTATTTTCATTTTTTTTTTCTTACAGCATCTGGTCATAACTTCATCAAGGATATCGTGGTAGCTTTCTCTGTTCTTGTTGCAACGTTTGGTTGCTGGTTCGCTGTACATCAAAAGCGACGTGCCAAGAAACAGATGGATCAAATGATGAAGGATTTGTCTGTCTTACAGCAAGCAGAGCAGAACTTTGGAGAACTACAAGACAGGTATGATCCGTCCGTTTAAATACACTSAACTCTCGCCTTGCAGAAACCCTGATATTACGAACATTATTAACTTTATGTCKAATGTGATCAGGCTAATACAGGCTGAGGAAGAACACCAACGTGCTATCCAGGAGAAGAATGATCTCGAGATGAGACTTGAGGAAGAAATTAAAAGCTCTAAGGTACTCATCACGCATGCTCAGTCCTGCATGTTTGTCTGAGACTCCCACACGGCTCTGGCCTTGCGATTAATCACAACAATTCGTGATTTTAGTTTGGAGCTGAGAAATGGCAAGATGCRCAGGAAAGCAATAAAGAGAAGATGCAGCTTCTAGAAGATGCACAACAGGAACTTTCCAGGGTATGAACAAATGAGGGCCAGTAAAGGGTGAAGACCTACCATTTTAAATTGGGAACATTACAGTGAGCAGATCGAAAAATCGTAGTTTTCCATTCCCGAATAAGTACGCAGGAGTTAAAAATATCATTAGATAAATATAATTACGGCATTACTGTGATTTCAGCAGAATGGTCTCTATATCGAGTGTCGTTCCGTTGCATGGTACAGAGCCGAGAAGATATTTTTAAAAGACTTGATATGGTATAATTGTGTAATTTTTAATTGTGTAATTTTTAATGTGTATATCATACCCCAGGTTCGTAAGGCACTGCTCAAAGCTGAAAAGGCCCTYGAGTATCAGTCTTGGAGAGCTCCGTCTGCATTGAAAGAGTGGTTGCAAATGACTTATGTAAAAGAAACCAAACACTTCCATCTAAAGAGGGCGCARGCACTGAAACAAATGTCTGAAGCAAAGGAAGCGGTAAGTTAATGATGTCTTTAATGATGACAATGATGATGATGATATGCAACAAGTGCAGTTGTTGCAATTTGACTTCATGAAATAGCTTGTTTCATTCAATGACATTTCTTTGTTCTTGATTGTTTCAGTGTGATCGAATACGAAGAAAAAGAAATACTCTCATTGGATCATTTAGGATGGCCCATGATATGACAATAGATGAAGTCGATCAATACATCATAAAAGCAAGGTGAGAAAAAAGCTCATGAGATGGATGAGACCAATGGAAAAAATCGTTGTAAATTTGATGGAAATATGATGTTAGTGTCCAAAATGATGGAAATTTGATGGAAATCTGATGGAAATTTACAACCTTTTAAAGTGCACGATTTTTTCCAGTTGAAAGGAATAATTTCATTGAAGGGATGAATGGACGAACTGGAAAGGAAGCAAAAACAAATGAAAAGATAAAGAAATGAATGAAAATAATATCGAATACGAGAAGAATGAATGAAGAAAGGGACACAAATGAATATATTGTTTAATTATAACTGACAAATGGGTGGATTCATGAATGGGAGAGAAATAAAAAAATATTAAAAGTGAAAAAAAAAACTCGCCCTCATCTTGCCAGGCGTTAGCTAAAGACAAGTAAAGATCTGGCTTTTGTCTAGTAGGAGAACATACCAATCTAGATATTCATCCATCTTGTTTTGTCTCAGGGCATCCCTAGCTGAAGTAACCAACGAGCTGCAGGAACGTCAACACAGATGGTCGCAAATCGAGTCCCTTTGTGGCTTCAATATAATTTCTGATGTTAATTCTTCGACCCCTGGACCATCAGACTCGAGGGGTAGCTCCAATGTAGCTCAAGCATTGGCTAACGTTGCAAACATTGGAAGTGTAGGATCTGGACGAAAGATTTCAGATAATAACCCTCCTAATAAAGAAGACTTTGATAACGACCCCCCTCCKACCTATTCCAGTGTAGCTGTGCAAAACTCACCCAACTTGAACGATTGCAGGTCTTTGAGAGACTCACTGGATCCACTCACCGTAAGTTCAAAGGCACAAAATGCCAGTGAACGCGATCAAATTCCTAGGAATTTATCGCAAGCGTCTTTAGTAAATGGTCGTAGTAGTTTGACTAATGGTAGCTCTAATGGCCTTGATCATCCTGAAATTAACGGCCACATGGATTCTTGCAGCAATCTCTCCCCGCCAGCCWRCAAGACGAAGAAGAAGTGGTTCGGCAGTAAAAAAGACTTTGAAGTCGTTATAAATGGCGATACGGAGGAAGAATGTCGCAGAAGAAAAATCAAATGGCTGTGGAGAAGTGCTGCGTTGAAGTCAACAGCTAAACGCAAAGAACAGTTAATCAAAGAAAATGAAAAGATAAGCTGAGAATATGTGTTTATGTATTGCTCGCCTATTGTAAGCTTTTCCTTAATCAAACATGCTTTCTGCAGTTTCAACTTGACAATAACAGTTTTATAGGACATTCTATGTCATAGTCTTTCATAGTATCAATGACGGGCTCTCTTTGTCAAGACCATTTGCGTAGAGGTTTGGAATGAGAAGATCTTTTTGTAGAATCTTCTCCAGTCTCTCGGCATTGTTTGTAGATATTCAGTGATCTATCGGGACTACTCCTAATCGAGCGAGTGGTGAAGAAAGCTTCAGTAGCATTTATAAACTTTCTACYAGCAATAGGGAAAACTAAATTCTGTCCATACTATATGCAAAAAGTATTGAAATTGCTGTTTTTCTAAAAAAAAAAATAAAAAATTGTGTCAAAAGAATTGCAGGGAACTTACAGATCTTAGTAGGAAATTTACAGAGATTTAATAAAAGCATCATCCTGTATGCTTCAAATTAACAGTATTTTATATTAAGTTATTTCACCTATTTTTTACGGTGTTAAATTTATCTTTTTACACAACTGTTTCTTTAGAAACACCGACGCAGCTCAMACTAGTTTACCGCTAGTTCCCACCAGTATTTTATATTGTTGTTTTAATGCTTTTTACATTTGTATGGAAATGGTTATGTTTACCCTATTGCCAGTAAACTAGCAACTGTAAATTAGCTCTAGAAGTTCAAAATAGAAAAATTAGTGGAGAGTTTTTAACATTTACAAAATTGATTTTCAAGAAAAAAGTGTTTGCAAAGWTGTCAATAATTCTATAAGAATTGATCAGTGACCGGTATTTACTAAAGGAAAAAAATATTGATCATGAATTTTAGCTATATGTAATTATTAGCAAACCGCACTAATATCCATAAGTATATGCAAAGCATAGAGGTTTTTATCCCAGTATTATTTATTATTGTTGTCTGGATACTGGTTAGAAGTTTGATATAAATATTTTATTGAAGAATTTGCACCTCGTCACCAGTGCCTGCTTTATTGCTAGTCAGCGGATTGCTATTGTTGCAAAGCRTCATGGGATCGAGSGATGTTTTATTACATTGRCAAGAAGAACGCGAAAGAGAGGTGCGGTCCYTTGAGTAGCACTAAGACTGGCTCTGGGCGAGATTTAAAGATATATTTCTATCTATTATGAAAAATTTAATATTCAACAACAAATGACATCAGTTTAGGATTTTGATAAAGTAGTTTAGATGAGCAGTTTGGATATAACGAGTAATTTGCTTTTTGTACATTTTGCATACCGTCAGATTCATTCGTTTTCCTTCATCAACCTTCGGGTTTCTAGTTGTCCAGCAAGTTACAGCTCAGGCAGACGTGACGGCACAACATTCTCATAACAGTATTCAAAGAAAATTTATTGAAATTACATTGTAATTACTGTAATATTTACACATTTTGAACGATGATTTGTTTGCTTATTTTGATTGATTCATATTTAACAGTTSATGAGCTGTTATTTAATACGTGGGCTTCATGTCCATGGGAGATCGTGATCTATGGTGATTCATATACTTTTCCCTTGGGCAGGCTATAGATTTAGCGAACAAGGGAGTGTACATCCGTGGATATTTTAACTGATCTCTCCAAGTCGATCGGGGTTAGGTACATTTGTATTTATAAACGTAAAAGTTAATAAAATGAGATTTTTTTATTTCTTGTCTAAATGATGCTCTTTAGTTTTGATGAGTGAAATGGTGGCGAGGAATTACTAAAGTTATTTCTATTACCTGATCCGAAAACTGAACAAAATTCTTAATAACTACTTTTAAATCATAACTACCCAATTTTGGTATATAAAGAATTGTTCTACATTCACATGGACAATGTATGTTTATAATGAATTAGTCAGTCCCTAGTATAGATATATATGTATATTTGTCTTTGAAATATAAAAATCTTTCAATTTTCTGCCTGTTCTGTGCGGTGTCTTTGAAGATCGGACATCCGCCATATTAATGTTCACAGAGGAAATTGTAGAATTAGAATTTCCAGTATTTAATACCATTGACGTGTTGCTGGTAATCYATACAAAATAAGCTTATATAGGTATAATATTCTTTGTCCTCTATAACAATAGGTCTCTAAGGATAGAAAGAAAAACCTCTTAAGCCCAGTGAAAAAAAGAGTTTCTTACACTAGGTGAAAGGAACCGTTAAGATTTTTATATTATTTTCCATATTTTCCAGATCCACACCCTGTTAAGTTTCCTCTTTAATACTGAAATTATTGCTCCATTTTAAAAATCGAAATGTGACATTGYCTGTCAAAACGYCGATTTTTTGAAACAATCAAAAGTAGGTACTGCCATCGTCCCCGATCACCCAGCTCAACCAGACCTCGTTCATGAAAAACAGATACATCACAGAATATGTTTTTAATTTTCAAACAATTGCCTTTATGAAATTAAAAATACACAGCGATAAGTTGTCAAAGATAAGAGGCTACCCCAATTAAATATTTTTAATTTCATATTTGAAAAAGTCTCATTTGACACTTAGAAAATAATACTGACAGCTTGATTGTTATTTCAATAGTCAAAAATCTATGACAACATTAATTGAGTCAAGAAAAACTTTCAATTACAGCAAGCCCTGGTAACCCTTATAATCGAGAGATAAAACAATTTCTTCCCTAAAWACTGTATCAAAATTGCCGCAAAAGCTAACAAAATTATCTCAAAAATTAAAACTAGCACTTAGGCAGGATATTTATATGACTTATAAGAAGATTTTCACTTAAGTCTTTTTCGATCATTGTTTACCTTCGTAGAAATTAAGTCCAAACAGATTACAATGAGTTATTAAACGTTTATATTCACTACACTGAAATGTGTTTGTACAGGTTTTTATCACGAGTTAAATCTGGCAAAGATGCTTTCATCTATTTTATTTTCATCGTCAAGGGCCCTAAATAAAAAGAGATTAACACCTAGATTAATAGTTGTCAGTAATTGYAGTTTAGTGATTAGTTTGTAGATATTCCTTCATATGGTTTATCGCACGTTGTCACACGAATTGGTTGTTAACGCGTATAAACGAATTACTTTTATACAGTATCTTTTCATAAAAATCAACAGTATAAACTATGAGCAAAATATACAAAAACTAAGTGACAAGCACCCTAATAATAAGGAAAGGTCCTTTTCTTCTTCTGAACTACGAAAAGTTTAATTTATATTCTAACAAGAACAATCCTTGAATCGAAAAAAAAATTTGGACACAATTGGCTTACACTAAGATCAGTCGYTAGAATTCACGTTAATGAACAATCGTTATACATATTTGTACTCTTAAAATCTCTTATTTCTCAGGAGAGTTTTTACCTATAGCTGTACATTAATTTGTGTTCGATCAGCTCCTCTCTTCTCTATGTGATTATCATGTGCGCCGCGTAATCTGACTTTGATTAGATCACCAAAAAAAACAACATCTCTAGTATGCGTCAGAGACTATTTGCAGTKCTCGTTAAACGCGGAAGTGGACTTCTTTTAAACCGCTAATTAATTCATTTTAATGAGTTGGAGAAGGGGCGGTGGCTTTATGGAGGTACCTCTTATTGCTGACTTGATGCAGTTTAATGGGTCATATTAAATGCAACGATTATTATTTGTTATTGTCCCATTCCCCGACAACGGCTACTTTTCCCTTCATAGGTACCTTTCTAGATCTTGTAGAATCGACAGGAAATAGAAAAGGCCTTCAAAATTGCCCGATAATTGCGCAAACACTGCCGCCAGCCTGTTAAGTCAATAATTACGGATACGTAGCCTCRGGCGGGCGGGCGTACGTCCCACGGTGATAAATACGAGTAACAAAAGCATCGTTAACCAGCTATTTCCTTTACTCATTATTACAAACAGTTGGCTTAGCTGTATCGTTCCTATATAATTCATTGCCTGTTAAAGACTTACACAAACTMGTAGACCCACTCAAGACCAACATCAACGCTTTATAACCATGTCTCGTCTCGGCTTGCTGCTTCTCGTTGTTGCTGTGATCATGGTCGCTGAAATCACAGCTCAATATCCTGGAGCCTTCAAAAGAGGTARATATATCATACTATAAACAACAGCACTGATAGGTACAACCATGTTATAACCAATGTTAAATCCCGCTATATGCTTCGCCCTACATTTAGAGTTCTTCTTTGAAAAAAGAGCAACCAGTAAAAACTTTGAATAACAATTTGTTTGTTTCAGTAAAACATTTTGACTTTTAAAAGCGTGTGAGTGATTTTTGATGARCTTTTACGTGAATAGTTCTGAAGTTTAATACAGCGTAAATATGAAATTTTGTCGCATTTTTGTACGAAGTTTGACGCCATAACTACAAACGAAAATGTGACCAYGTAGTAATCGCAGTTAATACTCTACATATCTTTTATCTGAATAGTTTACTGAGCACAAAACGATTCGGTAAAATTATTTTTTGCGGGTTATCTTTTTTAAAGCTGAATCCRAAAAATTCTTAATTATAATACATGAATGTTATATTGACGTGTGGCCGAAGTATTACGAGTAGCCTTTCAAGACGCTTAACTTGAATTTAAACCCTATGTTACTATTCTTGATATTTCATAATTTTAAAGAAAATGTATGGCTTRAACTGGGTTTTCAACATCACGTAAATGCAATTTGAATACACATTAGTAAAGCTAAGTCAGTTGATCAGATCTCCCTAAAAATAAGTCCCGGGGATGAGTCGGTGTACGGATGCTCTTTAAAGTGTTAAAATTGACCTCTAACTGCCCCCCTCAATGAATAAACTAAAATGTTTCCCTTAAATTTCTAGCAGAGGAAAGCCGTATGGCAGCAGAAAAGCGGCAAGCAGTGTTGGGGTTTAAGAAAGGTATGCCTTCCACAATATCGGGCCTGCAAATGATTTTAACTGTTGTGATGTCCCTGCCTTAAATGTAATTGTCATCCTTTTTGATGTATTATATCATTTGTAATATACATATTTTTGAGTGTGTGTTTAAATTTGTTTGGCGAAGCTATATGAAATAAAAAAATAAATAGAAAAATAAATAAATTTCCCACACAATCCGTTAAGACTGGATTTTAAACTATGTGTCGATCGTCAGGGGCGTGGTCGTAAGAATGGGCGTGGTTTTAGGATTCTAAGAACATTATCTTGGATTTACACCAAGCAATGAGCTGTTGGACTGTCGGAAAATGTGTTCCCTGTTGATTTGGCACATAAGCTTTGTCTGCCAATGTAAGGGGTTGCGRGAACTCTTGTCAACCCCTTCCATTGCCACACAACATACCACAGTACTTTCTTATCCTATATTGAGTTATCCATATACACCTCAGAACCAATTAATGAATTAATTAACTGACTGAAATGCTTACTTTTTAGAGGTGGAAAGTCCTATGTCAGCAGAGAAACGTCAAAGCCAGCTTAAGTTCAAGAAAGGTATGACTTTTATTCACAGTTTGTTGAGGTAGATTTACACAGAGTCATTGCTTCACTGCGCATTATAAATGCTCAAACCTATACATCATTTTGCTGTGCAACATCTGTGCAACGATCTGATCGTATCACCTTTCATTTCAGACTTTAAAGATGCAATGGATAGGAATACACTGCAGTAAAAATAATCTATCCCCACCACTTATTCAGGCTTTGGAAACTCCAATATTGTAGATGATAAAAATATCTTTATGGTGCAGTCTTAAATATACTCACACCTTCAGTCCGTCACTCTTTCATCWTCTCGCAGAAATAAAAGAAGATTAAAACTTTAAAACATCAAATGTAAATCTYATTGTCTTGCTGGACTTGAATAAATATCATAAATAAGAAAATCGTCGTTTACAATTACTCTGTTCTGTGCATTATTTAATAGCTTCCATGTTGGGTGAAAATATCAATGCATTTTTCTGTAGATTCTCTTATTCATAAATCCAACATGGCGTCGATAGCTTTCATCGTCAATATTAGCTAGGGGCTGACTAAGGTCGGCTCCTCCTCCGACAAGGCCAATACCCCCACCATTTAGCGCCTCGGCTCGACACTGACTTCAAAACTATGTCTAGTTGAAATGATTATAAATAATGTCTACGCACCAGTAAAGAAAATGTTATCAATGTGTTATTTCTGGATTAATGCAATGGATTATTATCAATATAATAACAACTTCATACATAATGGAATAAAATGTATACCCTACCAACAAAGGAACCTCTTTATATTCGTCTGCGTGATTTTATTTAAATATATAATTCAGTGGAAAGTTTAGGTATCAAATTTACTCATTATGTATAAGAACAAACGATTTTAAATTCAAACTATCAAAAAGTACAAATTACTATTGAAATACAAAAGATATCGATGCATTATAGAATAAGTTAATATCCAGCGGCCCACCCGTGTTTTCTAGGATCAGACTGTGCAAACATTTCAGTGGTATTCTTCGATATTGCTTGAACAACAGCGTATGATTTAGAGGGGATTAARTAGTTTCCTCTTGAAGCAAGGCCTTTRCGTATGTCTGCTGATATCGTATATTGAGGATCTTTGACTTCGTATGTTGTATTGGAAAGCTGGTTGTGCACTCTTGGTTTGCTGACGGCTTCTTTGATTGGAAGACCAAACCAKAGATTGTTCATCGCAACCTTCGAAGATTAAAGCACTCAGTTATTATATGCTATAACTAAGCTATTTACACTATCGTTCGCTTGTTGCCGGAAAACAAGCATGACTTAATAAAAGAGTTGAGCGTTCTATAAATCGTACATTACTTATTGAGTCTTGGAAGGCTCTCTGTTCAATCATTTGACACACATCAACGATTAAGTATGAGTATTTTCTTCCACTTACCAGCGAAGTAGCTGTTGTTATACGTGTTCCACCAGATGCTCCAGCTATCAGACGAACAGTTTTATCGTTTTTCCTGACGAAAATTATTGGACACATAGAAGACATTGGTCGTTTGCCTGCCTTGATGTAGTTGCTAGGTGAYGGACTGACGCCGAATCCATTGGGCTTTCCTGGAGTAGAGAAGTCATCCATCTCATTGTTGTAGATGATGCCGGTCACTGGAGAACGATACTTTGCACCAAACCTAAAAAACAAACAAACAGTTATTAACTTTCAAGAAAAGTCACAAAAGACAAATTCATGGCCTGGTGGAAAGGAATACACCGGAATGCATAAGTAAGTGCTGAACTCAATCGTAAAAGTTCAAGAAAAAACAACTGACAACAACAAACAAATAACAAACAAACAACCAAAAAATCAAAAATCAAATCACTGGCGCGAGCTCAAGTTAGTAATATCTCCGACAGAAGAGCATTGTGGGAAGAACTTCGAAGTTTTCCGTGCTTGCTCAAAACAATATTTTGAAATTATAATTTTCTTTGGATGATGTACCCAGGCAATTATTACTGTATGCATGCTATAACATCGAACTATACATATAAGATAGCTCCCGCAATCGGCCTTATCGATCGATCTTACATCGACCAAACTTTTGAATTGATTAATTAAAATAATTAGGGAGTAAAATTGATTACCTGAAATTAATAGTTGTAGTCAACGATACAGCATCGCCATTAGCAGCTAACACAGACAAGTGAGAAGTGCCTTGATTGCCGGTCCCTGCGTCGTAGTTGCTACCATAGTAAGAAACATTGTGATAAGTCTTGTCGTCTTGGATTCCTTTTCGTAGTTTCTCTGCTAATTTTGGATCTGTCAT